ATTACGTTTACATTATGAAACAGAATAAAAGTTTATAAAATGATATATATTTTATATAGTACATATGTTTTCAATTAGAACACAAATTATAATATACTCAATAGGGTGAAAATGTAAAACCAAAGCTTCAATTTACTAAAAGAATAAAACAATTTCCACATATTAGCCTCCGATTTCTATACACTATATAAACCATTATGTGGAAATTATTTTTTTATTCTTTTAGTTCTAATAGTACTTATAAAAATGATTCATGTAACTAAAGCCGACTTTCCACTATGGGATATAATATAATTTATATTACATCTCGAGATATAAATTAATATCGCTCACCGTACTTTTAAATGGAACCGTTTCCACTGAGATATAATATATATTACATCCCAAACTATAAATATTTTTTCGATCGACCGAGCGATATTTTCATATTATATTTCTCCTCCTGTACCCCATACACCCTTACACGCCTATGCTACGTCCAATGACGAATGCACACTGGTTAAAAGATATATTCCACAGTGTGAAGGGCAATCGTTCCTTCAAAACCCACTACACGGTGTTGATGGGAGACTTCAACGCAAAACTAGGCACAAGAGAAGGCGGTGAGCTGAAGTTAGGGAAATTTGGAGTAGGGCAACGGAACAGCAGGGGCCAGCAGGCGGCTTACTTTATGGAGAAAGAGGGACTCTTTATGATGAACTCTTTCTTCCAGAAGCGGCCCCACAGGAAGCGGACTTGGTCGAGCCCCGACGATTCGACAAAAAATGAGATTGACTTCATTATGACGACCAGGCGCCAACTGTTCAGTGATGTCTCAGTGATCGCAAGGTTGAAAACCGGCAGCGATCACCGAATGGTTAGCGGCACACTGAACCTAAACGTTAAGTTGGAGAGGTCTCGTCTAATGAAGTCAACGCTCCGTCCCCCTCGTGCTCTATCCAGAATCCCGAGACTTTTCAGCTCGAGTTACGTAACCGCTTCCAGTGTCTAGAAGATTGCACTGTGGACGATATGAATGACAAGCTCGTGGAAACTGTCCATGCGGTCGGAGCTAAATTCTACAAGACCCGACGCAGAAGAACACAAAAACTCTCCGATCACACTCTTAATCTCATGGCTGTTAGACGGGAGATGAGGCTGCAATCGTCAACAGATTTGACAGCATACAGGCAACTGAACGGACAGATCTCCAAATGCGTACGGCGAGACTTACGCAACTTTAATACTGCTCGTATTAAAGAAGCGATCGAGCGGAACCAGGGCTCCAAAGTCTTTGCCAGAGATCTGTCTGCCAGAAAGAGCCAACTGTCAAAGCTGAAGACTGAGTGTGGCAGCATCGTTTTCGGGACACCTGAGATTTTGAGTGAGATTGAGAGGTTCTATGGGCAGCTGTACACATCATCGTTGGAGCCACACGCAAGTGTGAGTAACGATCCAAGAGCAAGTCTTACCCGACACTATTCCGATGATATCCCGGACGTCAGTCTGAGCGAGATTAGAATGGCTCTCCAGCACCTTAAAAACGGCAGGGCCCCAGGCGAGGATGGAATTACAGCGGAGCTTCTGAAAGCGGGTGGAACACCGGTACTTGAAGTCCTTCACAAGCTCTTCAATTCCGTCCTCCATGGTGGCACTACTCCGGAGGCGTGGAGCAGAAGTGCGGTGGTCTTGTTCTTTAAGAAAGGCGACAACGCTCTCTTGAAGAACTACAGACCGATTTCCCTTCTGAGCCGCATCTACGTGCTGTTTTCGAGAGTCATTACGAATCGTCTAGCACGCAGACTCGACGACTTCCAGCCTCCCGAACAAGCTGGTTTCCGAAAAGGCTTCAGTACCATAGACCACATACATACCCTGCGGCGGATTGTACAGAAGACCGAAGAGTACAACCTGCCACTCTGCCTGGCGTATGTGGACTATGAGAAAGCCTTTGATTCCGTCGAAATTTTGGGCGGTGCTACAGTCCCTTCAGCGGTACCAAGTTGACTGTCGGTATATCGAAGTGCTGAAGTGTTTGTACAGTAGTGCTACGATGGCTATCCGAGTACAGAACCAGAGTTCGCAACGTATCCAACTGCAGAGAGGTGTAAGACAGGGTGACGTTATATCCCCGAAACTCTTCACCGCTGCGTTGGAAGACGTTTTCAAGCTACTGGATTGGAAAGGATGCGGTATTAAGATCAATGGCGAGTACATCACTCACCTTCGATTTGTCGACGATATAGTCCTTATGGCAGAATCGCTGGAGGACCTTAGCACTGTGCTCAATGACCTCAATGGTGTCTTCCAACGGATAGGTCTTAAGATGAACATGGACAAAACAAAGATCATGTTTAATGTCCATGTCACACCTATGCCGGTAGTTGTTGGGGGCACTATGCTCGAAGTTGTTGACGAGTACGTTTACCTGGGACAAATAGTCCGACTAGGTAAGTCCAACTTCGACCGAGAGGTCAATCGACGGATTCAACTCGGCTGGGCATCGTTCGGGAAATTACGACACATCTTCTCGTCAGGTATACCTCAATCTCTGAAAACTAAAGTGTACAACCATTGCGTGTTGCCAGTGATGACTTACAGATCAGAGACGTGGTCCTCACTGCTGGCTGTATGAGGACGCTCAAGGCTTCCAGTTTCTCTGCGTCATAGACTCAGAAATGAGGATATCCGCAGTAAAACCAGAGTGACTGACATAGCCCAACGGATTAGTAAACTGAAGTGGCAATGGGCCGGCCATATAGCTCGAAGAACCGATAACCGATGGGGAAGAAAGGTTCTCGAGTGGCAGCCTCGTACCGGTAGGCGTAGTGTAGGGTGACCCCCCACTAGATGGAGTGACGACCTGGTAAGATATGCAGGAAGTCGATGGATGCAGGTGGCTCAGGACCGTGCTTTGTGGCATTACTTGGGGGAGGCCCATGTTCAGCAGTGGACTTGTGAAGGGCTGTAATGATGATGAATGATGAAGGACAATCGTGGGATATAATTTATATTTCGGGATATAATATATATTAAATCCCATAGTGGAAAGCCAGCTTAAAGACTACTAGCCTCGTGCTCGCCCTGACACGCACACAGAGATAACATTGTAGTGTGCGTCAATATTACGCCCTTCCAAAGCGATCGCGTAGATTTCGACTTGGACATATTTGAATATGCGCCTTAATGGTAGAACCACGCTGCAGCTATAAGTTATTTATAGTTGTAGCACGAATGAGTCTGCTACACCGGGGAAAAAACCACGCTCCCACAGAATACCAGTGTAAAATAGCAGCTTAATTTTTCGTATTGATTAAGATCGGAGACCATTATTTACTGGAAACGAGGCATTCGATCCTAGTCCTCAGAGGTGACAACGTATCTGAATTTCGATTCTTAATCGAGAATAAATGTAGATGTCTATCAGGTGGACCATCTGTTCGATTGTCACCCTTATTCTATAAAAAATTATGGTTAGTAAAACACTACAGAGTAGCGAAAAGCAATATAGAATATTTACTTTATCACGTCATAAACAATGTTCATTTGTCTATATGTAACGATCTACATAGGAACACTAGGAAAGGTTTTGGCGGGAACCTGGCCGTCGACGGATTGTCACCCCTGTTTTGTTGCTTGAATAATGGTTTGAAATAGATTTTGATTCATAAAAGTGATGCGATTTTGGGAATTAAGTATCTGCGCGTGTAAACTATTGGAAAAAACGACGAAACAAGTGGTTTGATGTTGATATAAACTTCAATTTATTTTGATCGCTTGGGCGCCTTATGAACTTGAGTGGCTGTCATTATCAACTGTCCGCTGGGTTAACCTGTCATTAAAATCTCCCAAAAATTTCGCAATGTGACGCGTCAGCATATTGTGAAGAAAAAATATATAAAAACGAAGATTACGAAAGAAACGATGGACTCAGAAAGGCTAGAACCTAGAGCCGTAAAGCCAGTTAAATAAAAAAATTGGAACACTCGTACATAACTCTCCAATATTATATATTAGTCTAATGGTCTATGTACATAGATAAAGAGTGGTCTATGTAGATAACCTTAAAAATTAAAACTGATTATAACTTCGCACTAATAGTACAATACTGCTGTAACCCAAAATATGTTCAATTTGTAATAACATCATATTCAAACGCAAAATTCAGTTCCCTACACGTCAATAATACCGTCGTTAGAATAGTGCAATAAACAAATAAGAGATGGCTCCATTTGTCATTGTTTATGATTGACCGACTGTTTTAAACCCCAACCCAATATTGTATCATCTTTAGTTACGATCAAAACTCGGCTGAGAAGGGTGTGCTGCATTGTGTTTTAGACCGTATTAATTCGAATTGGAACGTTATTGCTGAATAGGTATGTAAAAGTTAAACCATTTAATTCCAGTTAATACATTATAGTTGAAGTTAAGCCTAAAGATAAATTTGGTGTATTTCTAGTTGTTACACTATTATTGATTCACAAAAATGAGATTTAAAATAATATTTTTACATACGACCTTCTTGTTTAGTAAGTAATTTTAGACTTAATACAGTTTTGTTGAAGAATTTTTATTACCTTGTTTCTTGTGATGATTTGTTAATATTTAAACAAATGCTTATTTGTAATCACAGCTTAATCACAGCAGTAAAAGTAAGAATATTCTTATTGAATTTTTTTAATTATTTAGAGTTGTTACATTCTTGTTGACATACAATATAGTCGTATAAGGTGACTTACTCAATAAATAATTGTTTTTATTTGTAGAATAGTATGCACCGTGGGCGATTGCTTGTGGATATGGCGACAAAAACAAAGTCAAAAAATCACCAGGGGAAGGAAAACGACGAACTTTCATTATTGAAACCGGTGATTGCAAACAATTAATGGTCTCAGAATAATGACAACGAAGCTGCGAAAGAACAAACGGCGTCCTCGATAACTTCACCTTCTACAATAATTAATCCAGTTCTTCAAGAAATTAACGTGAACCATAGTACGTCTAGTAATGTTGAATCAATGACCCAATCCAACCAAACGAAATATTACATTTCACCCCTGCACTCTGATGAGAGTGATTTTGATGATTCCGACTGTGACCCTCATTTTATTCCTGGTTCAACCAGTAAAGCTCCGAGTTTACTTCGAAGTGGTGCAACAAAATCGTCATGTAGTTCTTCGTCAAGTAGCTCTTCATCAAGTGGCTCAGATCAGGAAGCTGAGAATGCCTTAAATCCCGTTGCATCAACTAGTAGATCAACAATACAAACGGCTACAGAGTCAAATGTTCCCTCAGAAGTGCAGGACACAGAAAAGGAAAAAAAGGGTACGTAATGTATTAAATTGGAAAAGTAAAATAGCTAAAACACTTCGCAATACTGGTAAAGCATACCAATCAGCGACTAACAAACCGGTACCTGCAAGGAAGATGGGACAGACATGTGGCGAAAAATGCAGGTTAAATTGTGGTTCAAACATAAATGAGACATCAAGACAGAACATTTTCAAGAATTATTGGAGTTTGGGAGATTTACAAAAACAAAGAGAATTTATAATTAGACATACTACGGACATTAAACCAAAATACAGATACTCATCCACTCGAAATTTACGTAAATTAAATACCGCATTTCATTTCCAGCTAAACCATAATTATATCAGAGTCTGCAAAACATTTTTTTAAAAATACACTCGCAATAAACGACAGACCAATTGCTACAGCATTATCAAAAAAACAGAGACTGGTTTTGTATTGGAAGATACGCGAGGGAAACATGGTAATCAATGCACTGTGGAACCTGAATTCTATGATAGTGTCAAACAATTTATTAATACTATACCACGGATCGAATCACATTATCTTAGAGCCCAGACATCACGGGAGTACATTCAGTGTGATAAATCTTTAGCCGACTTATACCGTGACTACAAAGAAAATCGTACAAAAGAGAACCTACTATCTGTTTCTGCGTCTACTTTTAATCGCATTTTTAATAAAGATTTTAATATTTCCTTCCATACGCCAAAGATCAGTGTGATCTCTTCGAAAGTTATAAAAATGCTGACGAAGAAGGAAAACAAAGGATTGTTATAGTTTACGAAAATCACTTGAAAGAAAAAGAATTGTCCAGAAGAGAGAAAGAAATAGATAAAGCCAGGGTAGACAACACAATTGTCACTGTCTATGACTTACAGGCTGTAATGCCGATACCAAAGGGTCAAATTTCTTTATTTTATTACAAAAGTAGGTTAATTGTTTTAACTTTACTGTGAGCGACTTACATGCTAAAAACCTTGAATGTTTCTTCTGGGACGAAACTGAGGGAAATCGAGGTGCGATAAAAATTGGGAGTTGCATACTAAACTATATAGAAACATATACACAGGCTAATCCCAATAAAGAATTAGAATTCATATTTTACTCAGATAATTGCTGTGGCCAGCAAAAGAATAAGTATCTCCTTGCAGCTTACGCTTATGCGGTACAAAAATTGGATGTTAAAAGTATAACCCACAAAATCTGATTCGTGGTCACTCTCAAAACCAGGGTAACAATGTGCACAGCATAATTGAAAAGCAATTAAAGCGCCTCCTTAAATATGGGCCAATCTATGTTCCACAACAATACGTCACTTTAATTCAGACCGCTAAAAAGACGGGACAACCTTATAAAGTCAATTAAATGACTAATAATAAATTTTATATCTTAAATTACTTCAAGAGCAGTGGGGTAACAATTTTAGTGTGAACGCGGATAGAAACCAAGTAAAATGGCACGACATTAAGGTGCTTCGTGTGTAAAGGAACATCCAATGACTTTTTTCTATAAGAATTCTTACGAAGATAAAAACTACAATAATGTTTCCGTACGTAATACAATTTTCTGTTGGATTGACACAAGCATATACAAGTAAGATAATACGAGGTGTGAAGTGTGAACCTCCCGTGCTCAAGCGAATCCACACTCGCGCGTGAAAACAGTAACGCACGAGACTCGTTGCTGTGTTACTATTTTACGTTGGTATTCAGTGAGAACGTGGTCCTTCCCCGGTCCGACCCATTCGTGCTACACCTATACTACTAATATATATGCAGCGTGGCTCTGCCACGAAAAGCGTGGAAGTGACTGATTGAAAAAAAGTCTAAAGTCCAGTTGTAGAAATTTAAGAAAAAGGTGAAGAATTCCTGAGATTCTGGAGCAAGCAGCGACAAAATTTACAAGCCCATTTGGATTGCCTTTGACGTGATCGATGCTTTTCTAGGAGAAAGCGATAATTGTAAATAAACTACAAATACGGTTTTTTATCTTTTATATACACGTAACTGTCGTGAGCCAAAGCGCATAGTGTCACGGCGATAGCAGTGCATATTTCAGCGTCGATTCTCAACGAGCGCGCGAACTAACTGTGAACGATAGCGAATGTGGAGGGATGTGTTTTTCGCGACGAGTTCGCGGCAAAATGAAGGCGTGAATTCACGCCGTGAATTACAGAGGAGCCCACATAAAAACTAAATTACCACTTGTATTACAAACTACTTACTAATGAAGAAAAATATCGTAAATAAAATATCGTGGAATCCCGCACGTATGAAAAATTAAATATTTTGAGACTAAAGCTGTAAAACTAACATACATATGTGTATAATTAAATGCATAATTAAAACTGAGGCATGTCCCGAACATTGAGACGTAAGTATGTGCTAACTGTATTGTATTATAAAAATAATGTTCTCCAGGCCGAATTTCGGTCACGGCGGCCGGTCTCAATGGAGACTAGCCATCTGCGCAGGTTAGAATTATAGTGCACGAGTGTATGCGCAAGCACAGGTGCACTCTCTATTCCCTCACTCTCATAGTCATGGCACAATCCGACAGAACCGGAGAGAGATCAAGCACAGGATCAACGGCTTTACGTACTTTCCAAGACAGGGAGGGGGCGAAAGGCCGTCAACTTTCTAACTCCGGGCTGCTACTGAGAATTTCTTGACTGAAAAACCCAATAACTGATTTTTTTGGGCTGACTCGGGATTAAATCCGACGACCGGTCACTAGACCAACGAGGCTGTCACACTGACTGACTACTGCACTACTGGGGCTATGGGAGCAAATAATGTTACGCGTAAATATGTACGCTCACCAGATGTCGCTACTTGTGACTAAGGTGAACTTATTTTTTTTAATTATAAGTTCTTCTGTTTTTAGCGTATGTGTATACACAAAAACGCCTCGGTGCAGTATTTTCATTATTTGTTTAAATTTTTATCTTTTTATTTCTTCTACTCTAAGGAATATCCGTAGTTTGGTTTATACATTTCCTTTCTAGTTAATATAATATAAATAATATTTCAGAAAGAACCATAAATTCTCTTCACTTTTCTGAAATAATAACTTCCTATAAAATATGCGAAGTATTTCACTTTAATTTTTATAAATATTTTAACACACACAACAATCAGTATACAGATAAACTTTGCTCACTTAGCTTATATGTTAAAGTAACAGAAAATGGAATGGAGACTTCAGTTTATTTTTTTAAGAATAGTAACGTATCAATTATCATTATTCTTTGTTTTTTAACCAACCACAATCATATATTAATATCTTTATTAAGATAAGGTTATATTAAGATCGATGGATTACCTAGATTCCGAGAGATAACTCTATAGTCAAGTTATTTAAAAAATATATATTTATGTATGAAATGACAACCATAACGAATTCATAATATATGTTGTGAACGGAATATCACAAAATCTGGAGGTGAGTCCACTCATTCGCGGGAGACCTATCGCCGCCATTGATTTTCTCTTAGATTATTGCCATAGTTTGCATTCTTAATCGTGGATAGATGTAGATGTCTATAGGCCACAACATCCACTTACCATCAGGTGAACTGTGAGCTCTTTTATCACACCTAATCGAAAAAAGCAACCAAAATGAAAATTTAAATAATATAATAATACGAGTAAACGATAATAAAAATAGGCAAATATTTTAGTGTGAAGACGACTCCGCTAATTTTTAAAATAACAAAAGCGATCTTGAACTTAAATTCGCATCTTTTTATTATTTTCCCGTATTCATTGCCGGACCACAGATAAACTCGGTAAGTTTATATTTTTTAATAGAAGTAAGGATAACAGAAAAGTACCACCAAAAACGCAGTCCACCTAATGGTAAGAGAATACTGTGGCACATAGACACCGTCTTTATTATCATTGATTAAGATTCAAAATACAGTTGCATTGTCGCCACTAAAGACTGAGATGGAATGCCTCTTCACACGTGAAAAGAATTTCCGATTCAATTAAATCAAAGAATACAAGTTTTTTTTCTTCTAAATACTTTCATATTCAAGTAGTCCAAGTAAATATATGACTAACTTACTTTTTCGTGCTAAACTCTAATTATTTTTCCGAAATAAAAGTAGCCTAAGCTACTGCCAACTGTTACCAACCAGTGAAAGTCCCGTCATAATCAGCCTAGCCTTTTCGGAGATTAGCCGGAACAAACAGACAGACATACATTTTAAAATTAGTTTTTTGATATAAGTACCGTATATACTTTCATATATTGGGTGTTTCTTAGCTGCATGAGAAGTTTCGATGGTTTGACAGTTGAGAATATCAAACTGTGTTGAAGTTTCTATTCAATGTTCTTGTCGTTTAACATCAGAACAATATATTATTAACTATACTATTAACGAATCACCATTACATCCATTATGGTTGACTATTTGGTGCGGTTTACTTACACGCTGGCGGTATCGTCGGTCCTTATTTCTTTCAAAAAGAGGAAGGAGCTGCCGTTATGGTGAATGGCGATATCGAGCAATACTCACTGATTTTCTGTTTCCAAAAATTTATCAGATAAACATCGACGGCATTTGATTCCAACAAGGTGGCGCAAATTTCCATACAGCGCGCTTAACCGTCAATTTATTGCAAAGTCAATTTGGTGACTAATTTAGTTCCAGAAGTGGTCCCGATAACTGGCCCTCCTCGTTTGCGCGAATTAACGGCTCAAATAAAAATTTTAAAATAAAAGTTGAGAAATTAATGGGATTTGGTATAAATACACACGAAATTTTATTGGTATATCATCCAAATACTGCCTATTACTATGTTGCGAGAACATGTCAGGCGGTAGTTTCTTGATTTTTCCTGTTCAGACATGACGTTTTTACACGGGTTAGTTCACTGGACCGTGCAACAAGTGCATAAAAACAAGTAATCCTATTAATTTTTACAATTAAAATATTTTTATGGGAAGTATCTGCATAGCATATTGCATTTATGGGGATAGGTTAAATCTTTAGTTTATGCTGACAAACTAGCAACTCTTGAAGCAATGGAAGTCAATATTCAAGCCACAATTGACACCATACGGTTAGATTTATTGGAAAATGTAGTGAAAAACTGGACTGATCGAATGGACTATGTCTCGTCTATATCTCGTAGCCGCGGTGGACATATGCCGAAAATCATATTTATAACATAAATGCCATGAAGTTATCTACTAAATGATAATAATAGAAAATTGGTTCCAACAATATTTCAGTTTTGTATTATTATTTTGAGTTCTCAAGCTCTTAAAAACATCCGTTATATTTAGATAAAGCTGTTATTTTGAAATTACAAACAAACACTTAAATTTTATTTATTTGTATAGATAAACTAGCTAAACTTTCTCATAACATTAAGTATGCCAACTAAGTATCAAAGTATTGTTCCCAGGTTATAATGAAGCTCTATATATTTTTGTCCTGTATCGTGGTCATACACGGAGCAGCAATAAGCGATGAAAAGTGCGATGGAATTACAATCGACGGCGTCTATTACGACAAGGAGGTCCTGAAGACAGATCTAGATCGACCGTATTCTTTAGTCGTGGACTTCGGCACTAACGTTCTTTATTTCAGTTATAACCTTTATCATACCGATGACATCTTCAAAACTGCCAAGATCAATCTTGACACGAAGGATTTCGCAAAACTGGACGGAGTAGAGAACGGTTTCGGACAGACAGTCGATCAGACAAATCACGTCCTTTACATTGGCACCTCAAAAGGCATCTACAAATATAATAACACAGATAATACAGCCAAACTGTACGCAGCGCACGACACAGATATAGGGGACGTATACTTTAAGGATGAGTTGTACTATTCTGAGTTTCCTTCGCTATTTGTGTACACAGTGAAGGATGGTCAAACAGAACGTTTTAAAGATCTAGAAGAGACCCAAGTAACACATTTCGCTATTGATGACGAAGAAGATATGTTTTACGTTAATTCAACCGGTCTGTACAGTCAGAAAAAAAATACAAAAGACTCAGTTCTATACAAAGAGATGAATTATGGGGAAGGTTTTAGGGGGATAACGACTGATGTGAATGGAAAGGTTTATATTTGTTTTTCTGATGGGATATATAAGGTTAATAAACATACAACCACTGTCGAGAAAATGGTTGACGTGGACGATGCGTTTGGAGCTGCTTTCGACGGTAACAATAATATTGTTTATGCTAACTCTACATCGTTGATTTATCTCAAAGCTAGCGAGAATAAAAATTGTTAATTCAGTAATCGATTGAAATATAAATTGTATTTATAAAATAAAACTCCTTTTTTTGTTCGAATTAAATAATTATTTAATTAATTATTAGCATACTGTGAATCGGTACATATTCAATCGTCAATTCCATTATATTCCGCATATTTTGAGAGAAATTACCTAGTGTAATAGTGCAAATATATGTCATATGCTTGAATAAAATTAAATAAATAAAAAATATTTTTATTAATAATAACAATATAAATTTTTTCTTAAGGCGACTTATCTTACCGTTAAGGCAAGAGGTTATTTAATTATCAAAGTATGTAAATGAAGTAAAACTTTACATTTATATGTGTATATCAAACATTCAAACATGGATATCATAAGAATTGCCTCTTATTAAAAATTTACTATATTCATGGATAAGAAAAACGCCAGAAAGATATTATAGCTTTTTAAAGTCAATTCAGTTACGCCAGACCATAAAATACCCAGCCCGACGACGCGACGGTGAGCACCAACAAAGATGCGAGATGTCAGATGTCCGCCCGCCAAGCATAGCGTGGTTGTAGCACGAATGGGTCGGCAAATGGTATTTTAGCCTGAAAATTGATAATAAAGTTAGTAAAGTAAAGTTACAGCCTATATACGTCCCACTGCTGGGCACAGGCCTCCCCTCATTTCTGAGAGGATTTTAGGAAATGGAAGTGTCCACCGCGCTGCCCCAATGCGTGTTAGCGAACTTCACAATTCTTCGAAATATTTTTTTTAATTTATTATTTTCACCTCAAGTTTGTTAAATACGACTTTACGGTTGTTAAGTACGACTTATTTGTATTTGTAAAATAAGCAAAAGTCATAAGTATTTCAATTCAATGGTGTTTATTGTTTAAGTTAAAAGTGACAGCTGTAACGAACATCGTTTAAACTTACTGTAAGTTTAATTCTTGTTATCGCTTAAATTTTAGATTTACTTTTTAAGTAGGAAAACCTTAAAATGACTATAAATGTCAAACTTCTAAATACTAATGTAATTTTAAATGGGGAGGAACCTCAGAGTAATTTCTAGCACTATGTTATTACTCTAAGGGAGGAAATGAGTCTTGTCGATGCCACCATTTTTCTTGGAATCACACTAGACGCGAAGCTTCAATAAAACCCATGAATCAAAAATAGCAAGCAGATTTGGCTCTGCAGCATATGCTGTAAAAAAGATAGAAGTCTTACCAATGTTGAAACACCTATACTAGTTTACTTTAGCTATTTCCGTGACGTGTGGTATGGTACTTTGCTATGGGGACACGCGAGGCGACTGACACATAAATTGTATTTGTTTTACAGAAGAGGGCCGTAAGAGAAATCTATATATCTAATTATGGAAATTAATATAATAATTTTAGGCCTCTCAATACATTTATGAACGTACACAAAAGTAAAAATAGTTTTATAAAAATAAGTGTTATTCATTCTGTGAATACTAGGAACAGACACAAGCTAGTAGTACTAGTCACTCGACTCCGCCGAGTCAGTAATTCATTTCTGGGGCAGACAAACAAAATCACAGAAAATATAAATTATTTGACCTGCTCAAAGTTCAGAAACTTTACACTAAGTTTGTATAAAAAGGGTTATTATAATATGAAGAAATTTATGGATGATAAAAACCCCTGGGTATGAGATGATCGCTACAGAGCTATTTCCAATTGGTTTCGTGTTGTTATTTGTGTAAGTCTTAAGCTGTTTTTTTAACCTCTCAACCCCCTAGTGGTCTCATGAGACCGCGGCCATATTCCGTCAAATCCCTAGTGGTCTCATGAGGTCGCACCCACCCACAGCACTTTAGCCATAATAACTCATATATAGAGTCTACTTTTCTATGAAGAAGTTTAGCACTATAAAATCAATATGAAATGCTCTATCCTCTAGTGCAATAACAAAACCGTTATCCTATGAATCATAATCATTTTCATTACAGCACTTCACAAGTCCACTGCTGAACATAGGCCTCCCCCAAAGTACGCCACAAAGCACGGTCCTGAGCCACCTGCATCCATCGACTTCCTGCATGTCTTACCAGGTCGTCACTCCATCTAGTGGGGGGTCGCCCTACACTACGCCTACTGGTACGAGGCTGCCACTCGAGAACCTTTTTCCTCAACGGTTGTCGGTTCTTCGAGCTATATGGCCGGCCCATTGCCACTTCAGCTTACCAATCCGTTGGGCTATGTCGGTTACTCTGGTTTTACTGCGGATATCCTCATTTTAAGTTTATCACGCAGAGAAACCCCGAGCATAGCCCTCTCCATAGCTCGTTGAGCGACTTTGAGTGTCCTCATACGGCCGGCAGTGAAGGACCACGTCTCAGTTCCATATGTCATCACTGGCAACACGCACTGGTTGTACAATTTCGTTTTCAGGTTTTGAGGTATACCTGACGAGAAGATGTAACGTAATTTCCCGAACGCTGCCCAGCCAAGTTGAATCTGTCGATTGACCTCTCGGTCGAAGTTGGACTTACCTAGTCGGACTATTTGTCCCAGGTAAACGTACTCGTCAACAACTTTGAGCTTAGTGCTCCCAATAACTACCGGCATAGGTGTGACATGGACATTAAATATGATCTTTGTTTTGTCCATGTTCATTGTAAGACCTCCGTTGGGAGGCACTATTGAGGTCATTGAGCATAGCGCTTAGGTCCTCCAGCGATTTTGCCATAAGGACTATATCGTCGGCAAATCGAAGGTGAGTGATGAACTCGCCATTGATGTTAATACCGTATATTTTCCAGTCCAGTAGCTTGAAAACGTCTACCAATGCAGCAGTGAAGAGTTTCGGGGATATGACGTCACCTCTCTGCAGTTGGATAGGTTTCGTACTCTGGTGCTGTACTCGGATAGCCATCGTAGCCCTACTGTATAAACACTTCAGCACTTCGATACACCGACAGTCAACTTGGCACCGCTGTAGAGACTGTAGCACCACCCAAATTTCGACGGAATCAAAGGCTTTCTCATAGTCCACATACGCCGGGCAAAGTGGCAGATTGTACTCTTCGGACTACTGTACAATTTGCCATTTTTCTTCAAGAGAGCATTGTCACCTTGCTTGAAGAACAAGACCACCGCACTTTAAGCTTCTGAAGGACTTTAAGTAACGGTGTTCCACCCGCTTTCAGTAGCTTCGCTGTAATTCCATCCTCGCCTGGGGACTTGCCGTTTTTAAGGTGCTGGAGAGCCATTCTAATCTCGCTCAGACTGACGTCCGAGATATCATCGGAATAGTGTCGGGTAAGACAACAATCTTCCCCAGTTTATCTAAAAGAGCGTTTTTCATATTTAAGCTTATCCCGTTCGATGACCAACAAAACTCTAACTATCCCGAAGCATAAATCTGCATACTACTCGGATTCCTTCACGGTATCATCAATTACACTTTGGAATAACCTTCCACGAGATTTAAAAGATGCTCCTTCAATAAATACATTTAAACGTAAGCTTGAGGCATATTATTTAAAATTACTTGATTAATTTTATTGATTATGTTTATTATAATTTCGTATACTATATTGTATGCTTTATTGGTTTAGTATTTATTTTATTTAAATAAATATGTATGCATGTATATATATATGTACATATATATATAAAAGATATATATATATGTATATATATATGTATATATGTATAGTGTATATATGTATAAACTAACATATACATAATATTATATAATGCGTTTTGAATAGTATGAATAAATAAGTTAGTTTTTTTCTTTCTCTTGCGGCTCTACCCATAGCTCTCACCACACTACAAAAGGTTAGCTGGCAGAGAATGCCTTTTTCGGCATTAAGATCGCCTTTGTACCAAATTGTTTTTTTTTTGAGTGCAATAAAGAATTTTCTATCTATCTATTTAAGACATGCTCTTGTATCGTTAGTCACACTTGCGTGTGGCTCCAACGATGATGTGTACAGCTGCCCATAGAACCTCTCAATCTCACTCAAAATCTCAGGTGTCCCGGAAACGATGCTGCCACACTCAGTCTTCAGCTTTGACAGTTGGCTCTTTCTGGCAGACAGAACTCTGGCAAAGACTTTGGAGCCCTGGTTCCTCTCGATCGCTTCTTTAATACGAGCAGTATTAAAGTTGCGTAAGTCTTGCCGCATGCATTTGGAGATCTGTCTGTTCAGTTGCCTGTATGCTGTCAAATCTGTTGACGATTGCAGCCTCATCTCCCGTCTAACAGCCATGAGATTAAGAGTGTGATCGGAGAGTTTTTGTGTTCTTCTGCGGCGGGTCTTGTAGAATTTAGCTCCGACCGCATGGACAGTTTCAACAAGTTTGTCATTCATATCGTCCACTGTATTGCAGTCATCTAGGCACTGAAAGCGGTTTTGTAACTCGAGCTGAAAAGTTTCGGGATTCTGGATCAGAGCACGAGGGGGACGGAGCGTTGACTTCATAGATGAGACCTCTCCAACTTAACGTTAAGGTTCAGTGTGCCTCTAACCATTCGGTGATCGCTGCCAGTTTTCACCCTTGCGATCACTGAGACATCACTGAACAGTTGGCGTCTGGTTGTCATAATGAAGTGAATCTCATTTTTTGTCGAACCGTCTAGGTCCACTTCCTGTGGGGCCGCTTCTGGAAGAAAGAGTTCATCATAAAGAGTCCCTCTTTCTCCATAAAGTCGGCCAGCTGCTGGCCCCTACGGTTCCGTTGCTCTACTACAAATTTCCCTAACTTCAGCTCACCGCTTTTTCTTGTGCCTAGTTTTGCGTTGAAGTCTCCCATCAACACCGTATAGTTGGTTATGGAAGAATGCATGGCTTTAGAGATATCCTCATACATCTCCTCATCGGGATGTGCCGAGGTTGGGGAGCAAACCTGTATGACCTTCAGCGAATACCGTTTGGTGATTCTGAGTATCAGATACGCAACCCTCGTTGACACACTCTCAATCTTTACAACGTTGTTGACAAGAGACTTGTGAACGATAAATCGGACACCTCCTTGGGACAGATG